ACACACACAACAACAACAACAACCGCCATTCGCCGATGTTCGATTCCCGCTCACGACCAACTCCAGTGACCCCTCTGGTGCACAGTGCCGGCCGCCTTCACAGGCGCTCGCTAACAGCACTTGCCCCTACAGTCTGGTAAAGGCTACACGGGGCTGCTTTGTCTTTTGTCTTGAGCATGGTGCTGCTCTTTGAGGCTCTGAGCGGGAAGCCGGTGGGAGACGGGAAGCCGCTCACGCACAAGGTGAGCAGGGTTCACGTTCACACACAAGGTGAGCAGGGTTCACGCTCACACACAAGGTGGTAGCTCACAAGGGTTCACGCTCACACACAAGGTGAGCAGGGTTTCACGCTCACACACAAGGTGAGCAGGGTTCACGCTCACACACAAGGGTGAGCAGGGTTCACGTTCACACACAAGGTGAGCAGGGTTCACGTTCACACACAAGGTGAGCAGGGTTCACGTTCACACACAAGGTGAGCAGGGTTCACGCTCACGCACAAGGTGAGCAGGGTTCACGTTCACGCACAAGGTGAGCAGGGTTCACGTTCACACACAAGGTGAGCAGGGTTCACGCTCACACACAAGGTGAGCAGGGTTCACGTTCACACACAAGGTGAGCAGGGTTCACGTTCACACACAAGGTGAGCAGGGTTCACGCTCACACACAAGGTGAGCAGGGTTCACGTTCACACACAAGGTGAGCAGGGTTCACGCTCACACACAAGGTGAGCAGGGTTCACGCTCACGCACAAGGTGAGCAGGGTTCACGCTCACACACAAGGTGAGCAGGGTTCACGCTCACACACAAGGTGAGCAGGGTTCACGCTCACACACAAGGTGAGCAGGGTTCACGCTCACACACAAGGTGAGCAGGGTTCACACTCACACACAAGGTGAGCAGGGTTCCACTCACACACAAGGTGAGCAGGGTCACGTTCACACACAAGGTGAGCAGGGTTCACGCTCACACACAAGGTGAGCAGGGTTCACGCTCACACACAAGGTGAGCAGGGTTCACGCTCACACACAAGGTGAGCAGGGTTCACACTCACGCACAAGGTGAGCAGGGTTCACGCTCACACACAAGGTGAGCAGGGTTCACGCTCACGCACAAGGTGAGCAGGGTTCACGCTCACACACAAGGTGAGCAGGGTTCACACTCACACACAAGGTGAGCAGGGTTCACACTCACACACAAGGTGAGCAGGGTTCACGTTCACACACAAGGTGAAGCAGGGTTCACGCTCACACACAAGGTGAGCAGGGTTCACGCTCACACACAAGGTGAGCAGGGTTCACGCTCACACACAAGGTGAGCAGGGTTCACGCTCACACACAAGGTGAGCAGGGTTCACGCTCACACACAAGGTGAGCAGGGTTCACGCTCACACACAAGGTGAGCAGGGTTCACGCTCGCACACAAGGTGAGCAGGGTTCACGCTCACACACAAGGTGAGCAGGGTTCACGCTCACACACAAGGTGAGCAGGGTTCACGCTCACACACAAGGTGAGCAGGGTTCACGTTCACACACAAGGTGAGCAGGGTTCACACTCACACACAAGGTGAGCAGGGTTCACGCTCGCACACAAGGTGAGCAGGGTTCACACTCACACACAAGGTGAGCAGGGTTCACGCTCACACACAAGGTGAGCAGGGTTCACACTCGCACGCAAGGTGAGCAGGGTTCACACTCACACACAAGGTGAGCAGGGTTCACGTTCACACACAAGGTGAGCAGGGTTCACGCTCACGCACAAGGTGAGCAGGGTTCACGCTCACACACAAGGTGAGCAGGGTTCACACTCACACACAAGGTGAGCAGGGTTCACGCTCACACACAAGGTGAGGAGGGTTCACGTTCACACACAAGGTGAGCAGGGTTCACACTCACACACAAGGTGAGCAGGGTTCACGCTCGCACACAAGGTAAGCAGGGTTCACGCTCACACACAAGGTGAGCAGGGTTCACGCTCACACACAAGGTGAGCAGGGTTCACACTCACACACAAGGTGAGCAGGGTTCACACTCACACACAAGGTGAGCAGGGTTCACGCTCGCACACAAGGTGAGCAGGGTTCACGCTCACACACAAGGTGAGCAGGGTTCACACTCACACACAAGGTGAGCAGGGTTCACACTCACACACAAGGTGAGCAGGGTTCACGCTCACACACAAGGTGAGCAGGGTTCACACTCGCACACAAGGTGAGGAGGGTTCACGTTCACACACAAGGTGAGGAGGGTTCACGCTCACACACAAGGTGAGCAGGGTTCACGCACAGGATGGCACCTCCGTCTAGACGCTGCCACTCCGTCTAGACGGTGCCTCTCTGTCTAGACGCTGCCTCTCTGGTCTAGGACGCTGCCTCTCTGTCTAGACGCTGCCTTCTCTGTCTAGACGGCTGCCTCTCTGTCTAGACAGTGCCTCTCTGTCTAGACGCTGCCTCTCTGTCGAGACGCTGCCTCTCTGTCTAGCGCTGCCTCTCTGTCTAGACGCTGCCTCTCTGTCTAGACGGTGCCTCTCTGTCTAGACGCTGCCTCTCTGTCTAGACGCTGCGCTCTGTCTAGACGCTGCCTCTCTGTCTAGACAGTGCCTCTCTGTCTAGACGTGCCTCTCTGCCTAGGAACGATGCCTCTGTCTAGACGCTGCCTCTCTGTCAGACGCTGCCTCTCTGTCTAGACGCTGCTGCCTCTCTGTCTAGACGCTGCCTCTCTGTCTAGACGCTGCCTCTCTTGTCTAGAGCTGCCTCTCTGTCTAGACGCTGCCTCTCTGTCTAGACCGCTCCTGCCCTCTCTGTCAGACGCTGCCTCTCTGTCTAGACGCTGCCTCTCTGTCTAGACGCTGCCTCTCTGTCTAGACGCTGCCTCTCGGTCTAGACGCTGCCTCTCTGTCTAGACGCTGCCTCTCTGCTGTCTAGACGCTGCCTCTCTGTCTAGACGCTGCCTCTCTGTCTAGACGCTGCTCTCTGTCTAGACGCTGCCTCTCTGTCTAGACGCTGCCTCTCTGTCTAGACGCTGCGTCTCTGTCTAGAACAGGCCGTCTCTGTCTAGACGCCTGCCTCTCTGTCTAGACGCTGCCTCTCTGTCTAGACGCTGCCTCTCTGTCTAGACGCTG